TTTATAACCTTGATGAATAATAATAATATATCAGAATGAAATGAAAAAAAAAGATTTTCTTACCTTGATTTTCTAATTCTTTTTGAGCATCATCAACATTTTGTCCAACAAATTTTTGTAAATCTTGTTCAGAAAGAGACATTTTTTCCTCTTCAATATCGTTGTTTGTATTATTAGTTGAAAAAAAGTAATAAAAACTGTGTGTTTTCACCTATGTGTAATGCAAAGTCGGCTATTCCTAATTACTTTTTCATCTAGCTATATAAATGAAAGAGAAAAAAAAAACGAGGTAAATATATATGTACAGATGTCGATGATTGCATACCATAATAGACGATCAAATCATATACTATCGATCGTAAAAATAAAAAGTATGATGATTTTATATTTTTCTTCTTCTTTCTCATCGAACATTTTTCTATTCACAAAATATATTAATAATTAATCATCGAAATTTGATATATGCAAAAAAACATAATGTATTTACACATAAAAGATTTTAAAAACCATTTAAATAAATAACGAATTGAAACAATCATTTATTAATTTAATATAATTTTCCAGTTTTATATTATAATTATAACAAAATTTAAACGTCATATATTAATTAGAAAATCTCTCATTTTTTTAACAATAATACATAACAAGACAACCATTGTTTATTAACAATTTTCGTTTGATATATTGAATAAATAAATAATGCAAAAGTAGAATCATTTTTATTATTAGATAAATCTTTAAATTAATAATCTAATAAATCATAAACATCAAATATCATAACCATATTGAGTGACAAATAATTCAAACCAGAATAAATATATTGCAAAAGATAAATCATATAATTTAGATTTTCTCTTAAAAAAATATGCACTGTGAAAAGCTCTAGAAAAACAGGAAGAACAAATTGACAGATAATATAAATGATATTATCTTCAAGGTTGAGTTAATATTCATGTATTCATAAGACATTTTATTTTAAAAAAGCTGTTAGCGCAATCCCTTGCGGGATTAAAAATGTGAAACACGATGTACCTGCTGTTGCCAATATTATAAAAATTGTTCTTTTTTATGCATATTGGTGTACCTTTCTTCATCGTGGCTTACTTTACATTATAGAGCTGATACAGGATAATACCCAATATATTCTCCAATCATGTGTTAGTTATGTATTATGGGTGTGGGTGGGGTGTGGGTGTAGGTGTGGGGTGTGGGTCTGGATCTGGGTGATTATCTTTTTTTTTATCTGAACCCTCACACCCAACCAATTCCCACATCCCACAGCCACACCCACCCACACCCACACCCACACCCACACCCCACAACCTAACCCTCACCCACATGCCACACCGACACCGACACCCGCAGCCACACCCACA